CCTTCCTCTTTCCTCCCTCCTTGGAGCTCGTCCCTTCGTTAGGTGATCCCTTGCTCTCACGTTCGAGTGTTTGCTCGTCGTTTAGGCCGGTGAGTGAGATTTCTGCTCATTGCAGTCACCTCCGGGGTTCTTCGCACCTGGATAGTACCAGGACCCTTGTGCCCCGGCCCTTATCAGATAAAGCCGCCCGCCCTATGACCCAAAACTAAAAATGAGCCTTGCGACGAGACGCGGACATTCCCCATGCTGCGGTTCCCTCCGGTCCGTTCCCGGGTTGGGTTAGGGGAACATCCGAGCGATTGCCTTCGCGGATCCAAACGCGCTCACAAGGCGCACAATAAGAATAAGACCAATAGAGACTTCATAAGAGACCATTTGAGCTGCAGATCGTAATGCTCCTAGAAAGGCATATTTCGAATATAGAGGAGTGAAAGTTCCCAACAATCAACGAGTTGATCATACCCTTCTTTGAACCGTACGAGCACGTCCTCTGTCACCCCCCACCGCGCTTACGGCTCCATACCCCAACCCAACTTGCTCTTACCCCCGGTCCTCCCTTTCTATTGTTATTAGCTTTCCCGTATTCGCATACCTTGTTGTGCCCTTGCGAGGTGCTTGTTTTCGTAAGTTGCATACCTTACTAAGCTAAGGGGCCCCTAGAAAAGATGACCCAGGGACCTTAGGCGCTAGTGGTGGGTTACCTAGAAGTCCATTTTGAGCTCTTGACTGACCAAGTCACTAAAGGAGCTTTTCCTGTAAAGTCCAATCCAAACCTAAAAAAGGTCAGTGATTATAAGTACCATAAAGGAAGAGAAAGAAGATTCATGGCAATTGAATTCGTTAGATACCGATTCCTATACCGAAAAATGTTTCTTTCTATTTGTATTTCAGATACCCATATTTTGTCCAATCAGAAATAATTCTATCATTTCTATATTCGCAATTCAATATACATGGATATATACCACATATATATATTTTAGATGCCTCTCCTTCTAGCGTTTTTCTCATGCAATTTGGAACACTCGAACGGTCGATTCTTTTTTTTCGTCTTAGTTTTAACCTTTCCGAAGGAATGTTTCATTATGATCGGAATTGGGCCTTTCCCTTTCTTTCATTTGTTTTTATTCTTATCTTTTTTTCTTAGAACGGATAGGTCCTATATAACATAACTAAAGATAACTAAAATGGATGGAAATCTCTTATTTTTTTAGATTAAATAAAAAAGAAATCTATTTCTATTTATTAATTTAGAATAGCTAGTTAGAATAGCTAGACCTAATGTAATGGCTATAAATAATCATCCTATTAATTTCATAATTTCAAATTAATTTAGAAAAGAATTCGAGTTATTTCTATTCTATATTATTATTATTTATTTATATATTTATATTAATTAAAAGAATATTCAATATATTTAAATATATTCATTTGCTAATTTTAGATTCATATTATTTATTACTATTATTACTATATATTACTATTATTAAAATATATATATTCTATATATATTTTAACTATATCTATATTTAGATTTAGAATTTTAAATTTGATATTAATTATAGAAATTCTAATTAAATTTAATATGAAATTAATTTCAATTAAATATGAAATTAATATAATTAAATATTTAAATATTAATTAAACTTTTAAACTATAAACTTATAAACTAATTATTAATTATTATTAATTAAAATAACAAAATTTGAATTCAAATTCAAAAATGAAAAAAGAAAATCTTACTATACTCTATACTAATTAAGACTCTATACTAATTAAGATAAAGATATTAAGATAAAGATATTGATCATTAATAAACATATAATTGATTGTTGAAAAACATAATATATTTACTAAATAGATTGAAATATATTCTATTAATCCTTATCTTCAAATTGTTATGTTCTTTATGTCCTAGAATAAAAAAAATGGAATATTTATTTGAAATTCTTTATTCTTTTGTATATTCATAGGAATTATGTTATATTCATATTCATTATGTTATCAATATTCTCTTCTATATTCAATTCATAGGAATTATGTTATCAATAGCTAAGAATAAAATAGCTAAGAATAAAGAGTTAATAACTAAGATCTCAGTAGTTTATTAAATTCCTATGCATGCACAATTTTTGTTATGTGAGCCCGCTTAGTCCTATTCCTAATAGATTGATCCCAAAATAACATATCCAAATTATAAGAAAGCCCATAGAGGCCACTATTGAAGAATTTACAGCTTCCAATCTTTTCTTTTTTCTAGTATGTAAATAAATCGCGAATATGGTCCAAGTAATAAACGCCCAAGTTTCCTTTGGATCCCAATTCCAATATGATCCCCAGGCCTCATTAGCCCATACTGCTCCCGAAAGAATACCTATGGTTAAAAAGATAAAACCTAGACTAATAATACGATAACTCCAGCGATCCAATTGTTGAATAAATTGAGACCTGTAATAATTTCTATAAGAAGGAAAAGAAGTGTTTCGTAAAACATTGTTTCTTTCGTTCATGTATTTGATCTCAGCAAAAGAAAATGACTCATTAAAAAAAAGATTATTGTTCTTACCAATCTTTCTTATTATGACTTTTCAAAATGTAATGACTAAAAGAGCTACTGAAAATAATGATCCACATAAAAGAGCTGCATAGCCCAATACCATCATACTTACGTGCATCATTAACCAATGCGATTGTAGAGCGGGTACTAATATTCCGGATTCATGCAGTTCGGTTAAAAGACCTGAAGTAGCAAAGCCTTGGGTAAAAATAACACTTGGTGCTATTATTGTGCTTAAATGGTTTTTTAAGCTTTTTAAAACCAAAACCTGGAATTATATGAAAAATGGAAAAACCCCAGGAAAGAAAGATTACCGATTCATATAAATCACTTAATGGTAAATGGCCCGAAAAAATCCAACGAGTAACTAATAATCCCGTTATACAGAAAAAGGTTACTACCATGCCTTTTTCGGACGAATCATATAGTACTACGATTTCATTGACTAATAAGGTTAGCAAACGAATTGCAATTACAATTGATACGACCGAAAACGCTATATGAGTTAATATATGCTCTAAAGTTGAAAATATCATATAAAAAAAAAGATCTCCTAATTATATGAACGGAAATCGGGCATTGAATTCATTATAGGACTTATTCTTTTAGAAAATAAGATGCCATGCCGCCACTCGGACTCGAACCGAGATGCTCTAGCACTGCTTCCTAAGAGCAGCGTGTCTACCGATTTCACCATAGCGGCTTGCTCGAAATCATAATAAACGATTTTTAGTCAATCGTCGAGATTGAAAGAGTTGATTGAAATGCAATATTTCTTTCCGAATATAAGATCTTATATTTTGGAAAGAAATATTGCATTTCAATTTCAGAAACCGAAACATTAAAGAATTTTAATTCAAAAAAGCCAATTCCAAAACAAAAATGAGGTCAATTTTCTATTGAAGAGTTCAAAACATTAACAAATAAACATTTTTACTTATATCTTATCTCATTTTGATTTTTAGTTTGTATAAAAATATCTATAAGATATAGAAACTAAAAAAAACTCTCCAAAAAAATATTAATAATTAATCAAAATTAATATATAATATAAAAGACCACAAAACCAATAATCTTCAAAAGATTTCAATATATATATATACGAAACCCTTTTTTGAAATTAGACTATTCTTTGAGTCCAGCTAATTCAGATTATTCCAATGTTTGTATTTGTTGCACAAAAAAAATTTTTGAGTTCCCCGTAGAAAGAGATTTCGCTAACGAAAAAGCTTTCAATGCTACCCAATATGCCTTCTTCTTCCAAATTGTTTTCCGAATCCTTTTTTTTGATATAGAAGTGCGTTTTTTTTGGAGCTGCCATTCCAAAATTAGACTAGTTTGTTTATTGCTATAGTTGGATGTGAAAGACATCTATTGTTCAAATGAATTGTTCTTTAATTAGATTAGACATATATCTATCTTATCTATTTGTTTTTCTAAATTATACTATTCTACTCCTTTTCATAAGGAATGTGGATATGTAAAAATAACATAGTCTTTTTTTTTCCTAATAATCGTTTATGTAATTCTCATCAGCTAATCAGTCATATCCTATGGCACTGGAAATAATATTCTATATTGGATTTCTTATTGCTTTTGCTGTCGAATTGCCGATTATACCCTTACATACATGGTTACCAGACACCCACGGAGAGGCACATTACAGTACTTGTATGCTTTTAGCTGGAATCTTATTAAAAATGGGAGCGTATGGATTGGTTCGAATTAATATGGAATTATTACCCCACGCTCATTCTCTATTTTCCCCCTGGTTAATTCTATTAGGCGCAATTCAAATAATCTATGCAGCTTCAACATCTCTTGGTCAACGTAATTTAAAAAAAAGAATAGCTTATTCCTCTGTATCTCATATGGGTTTCATAATTATAGGAATTTGTTCTATAAGCGATACGGGACTCAATAGAGCCATTTTACAAATAATTTCTCATGGATTGATTGGTGCTGCGCTTTTTTTCTTGGCAGGAACGAGTTATGATAGAATACGTCTTTATTATCTCAACGAAATGGGCGGAATGGCTATTCCAATGCCAAAAATATTCACGGTTTTCAGTATCTTATCGATGGCTTCTCTTGCATTGCCGGGCATGAGCGGTTTTGTTGCAGAATTGATAGTTTTTTTTGGAATAATTACCAGTCAAAAATATCTTTTAATGACAAAAATACTAATCACTTTTGTAATGGCAATTGGAATGATATTAACTCCTATTTATTCATTATAAAAAAATATTTGGCAGATATTACAAAAAAGAAATGTTCGATTATCCCGCAAATCACATTATTTTTTTAAATTTTTCATAGAAAGGGTATATATAGATATCTTTGTATGTATCATTAATATTCCTAGAATCAATGTACAACTTTTTCTTGAATCAACAAAAAAAATTCTTACTAAATACATTTACAATAATAAAGCAAATGAAGAAAGAAAAAGAAGTGATAAAAAAAATCAAAGTCTAATTCACTTTATTTCTACTATAAAAAAATCAATTTGTAATATTAGGAATACGAATTCACAGAATTTTGTGACGTATCCTCTTTGTCACAAGCATATGTATTTTACAAATTATCACAAACCCAAGTTATTAACTTATATAAGTATAAATTAAGATCCGTTTTTGAATATCATGGAACACCTCTTTTTCTTAAGAATGAACTAAAGGATTATCTTTTTGGAGTACAAGGAATATCTCATTCCAAATTAAAACATAAGAGCGCTCCCAATTCTTTAATGAATCAATGGACAAATTGGTTAAAAGGTCATTATCAATACGATTTATCTCAGAATGGATGGTCTAGATTAGTATCCCACAAATGGCAAAATAAAATGAATGAACGCCATGTGGCTCAAAATAAAGATTTAACCAAATATCATTCATATGAACAAAACGGATTAATTCTTTACAAAAAGCACGAAATAGATTCATTAACAAATCAAAAAAAAAATGAAAAAACAATATGGGTATGATCTTTTATCATATAAATCCCTTAATTATGCAGATAAGAAGGACTCATATATTTATGGATATAGATCGTCATTCCAAGCAAATAATAACCAAGCGATTTCTTATAATTCCAACACGCGTAAAAAAAAAAAAATTGGATATGATGGATGATATTCCTCTCAAGAATTATATAGTAGAAGATTCTATTCTAGATATGGAAAAAAATTTGGATAGAAAGTGTTTTGATTGGAGAATTCTGAATTTTTGTCTTACAAATAAAGTGCATTTTTGGGGTTCGATCGATACCGATTATTATTTTACGCTTCATGAAGAAATCAACCCATCCAATAAAAAAAAAACCTTTTTGATTGGATGGGAATGAATGTAGAAATACTAAATCGTTGCATAGCGAATCGGGAATTTTTTTTCTTCTCTAAAATTTTTATATTTTATAATGCATATACGAGTAACCCATGGATCATACCAATCAAATTCCTTTTTTTCAATTTTAATGTAAATAAAAATGAGAAAAACATCACGGAAAAGAAAAAAATAGATATTTTTAGACGATGGAAAAAAAAATATCTTGAATTAGAGTTAGAGACTCGAAATAAAGGAAAAACAGAATATGCAGGTCGACTAAATCTTGAAGCATCCCCTTCAAAGAAAGAAAAAGATGTTAAAGAAGATTATGCCAGATCCGACATAAAAAAGGGTGTAAAAAAAAATAAATACACAAACAACATCGAAGCAGAACTTAATTGCTTCCTAAGAAGGTATTTGCTTTTTCAATTGAACTGGCGTGATTGCTTAAATGAAAGAATAATGAATAATATCCAAGTATATTGTCTCCTGCTTAGACTGAAAAATATAAAAGAAATTGCTATAGCCTCTATTCAAAGAGGAGAACTAAGTCTAGATATTATGAAAATTAAGAATCAGAAAGATTTCACTCTTACAGAATTGAATAAAAATACGGAATTGATAAAAAAAGGAATATTGAGTATCGAACCGATTTGTCTGTCTATAAAAAACCATGAACAATTTAATATGTATCAAACCATAGGCCTTTCGTTGATTCATAAGAGAAAGCACCAAATTAATCAAAGATACTGAGAAAAATTCCCGCCGCTACCATAGTAGCAGCGTGGATAAGAGCGGAAATAGGGGTAGGCCCTTCCATAGCATCCGGTAACCATACATGAAGGGGGAATTGGGCAGACTTAGCAACTGAACCGCCAAATAACAGGAAGGCGCACAAAGTAACTAATAAAAGATTAACCTCATTATTAGAAATCAAGTTATTGAATATTTCAAACAAATCCCGAAATTCCAAACTACCTGTTATCCAATAAAGACCCAAAATTCCCAATAATAAACAAAAATCCCCTACCCGATTAGTTACAAACGCTTTTTGACAAGCATTTGCCGCAATAGGACGTGTGAACCAAAAACCTATTAATAAATAAGAACACATTCCAACCAACTCCCAAAAATATAAATTTGTATCAAATTCGAACTATAACCAATCCCAACATTGAAGTATTAAAAAACTCATATAAGCAAAAAATCTCAAATATCCTTCATCATGAGACATAATTGTCACTGTAAATAAGAACCAGAATCCCAACAGTAGTAATCAATATTGACATAATAGAAGTAAGTGAATCGATCAAGTAGCCAAACTCTAAAGAAAGATCATTATTTATAGTCCAAGACCATACATATTGATAGATAGAACTGTTATTGATTTGATGAATAGACAGATCCACCGAAAAAATCATAACTATACTTAATAATAAAACACTAGGAAAAGCCCACATACGGCGAATATTTTTGTTGCCGCGGGAAAAAGGAGAAGTCCCACTCCTATTAACATAGGAACTGCAAGTGGAATGAAGGGTATGATCCATGAAAATTGATGTGTATATTCCATACAAAAAAAACAAAAAAAGGATTCTTAATGAGTTTTGTTTCTTATTCGCCAATTTTATCTCTTTTGAAAGGGTTCAGTTAATAAAAAAATGAAAATTAAGATAGAAATAGAATTATCTATTGTTCATTATTCTGAATTTTTGTCCAATATTTCCAATAGTTGAAAGTACGAAGTGAAAATGAGTCAAATGATATGACCAAATTACTAGTGAAAAATCCACTTTTTTTTATTAATAGAATATTAAAAGATTAATAATATTAAGAAATTCCAATTTTTAAATTATTATTATACAATAATTTATATCCAGAGAGTGGGGATAAATTATTACACCAAAACGAAAAATATTAGTTTATTTTGATATGAATCATAAAAAACAATCCATCTGATTCAAAAAGATAAGAATTCTTTTTGTAGTTTTTGATTCCGAATCATTAATTTGTTTCGGCACTAATTTTTGATTTTCCATTCCAAGAAAAAGACATATATCTTTGGAAAAAGTTTGTAAAAAAGGTTATGATATTCAACAGTTTACTTTAGATAGAAAAAAGGAATTAAGATACATGATTTTAAAAAATCATGTATCTTTTAATCGACCAAGTAGGCGGGATAAAGATAAGGGTTGGGTTCTTAAACTTTTTGATGTATTTTATTCCATGTATAAATCCAATATGACCACGGATAAAGAAAAACTGTTTCAACATCAAAAACAACAAAAACTAGAGCAAACATATAATAACGGATTCTAAACTGTAACCAAGCATCGCCCATTGGTTCTATTCCCGATTCATAACTAGAAAGTTTCTCTGGCCCTTTATTAATCGGGGCTAAAATTCCAGAAATTAGAAATGCCAAAATAGGAATAAGACTCGATATTATTAGAAATGCCCAAAAATATCATATTCGTAAAGCAAAAACATAGATGTACTCCTATGAATGTGGAAAATCTACCAGATTAGTATTAGTCGATTCGAATTGGAATTAATTATCAAGTCAGCCATAACTGTTTATCATTTTAAGCGAACTGCTTAGTTTCGTTTGTTTCCTGTGGTACATATCTCATTTCAAGATAGAATATAACCATATATATATTTTTTGGATAACGTACAAAGAAAACAAAAAAAAACTCTCGCATTTTCGCATGACTTCGAATTCTCTCTAAAGAAAAGTAATTCCAGATTGAAATTCAATCTCTTTTTTTATCATTTATTTATTTTTATTATTCATATTTATTATTTATATTCATAATAATTAAAAAATCAAATTTGAATTTGAATTATTTTCGAATTCTTTTTCTATTTTTATTTATTTATACTAATATTTATACAAATTTCTAATTAATATTCATTATTTTATTTCATTTTTTTTTTTCTAGTTAAAATTCAAATTTCATTATTTTATTCATTTTTTTTTTTATTTTTTTTAGAAGTGAATTATTTTATTTGTTAATTCTCAATTTCATTTTAATATTTTATATAAGAAAAAAATTTCATTTTTCTATTTCATTTCCAATGGAATATTTATTATTATTATAATGATAATGAATTTCAATATTTAATGAATTTCAATATTATGAATTTCAATAAATAATCAATATTGAAATAGAAAAATGAAATTTATAAATCCATTAAAATAGTATAAAAAATTTATACTACTATATACACAGTATACTACATACATACTAATATACTAACATACAGACTAATAATAAATAGAATAATATTAATATTTAATATATTCTATTTAAGTTAAGATATTATTTTATTATTATATTATATTATTATATTATAAGTAAGTATAAGAAAGTATAAGTAAGTATAAGAAAGAATTTAGACTACTACTAATATTTAGTTATTTAGTATTGAATTTAATACTATAATATAGAATAGTATAATATAAAATAGAAATAGTAAAAATAAAAAAATAAATAGTAAAAGTAAAAAAAGTAAATAAGTAAATAGAAACATTAGTAGTATTAATAGGAATATTAGGGCTATACGGACTCGAACCGTAGACCTTCTCGGTAAAACAGATTAAACTTATTATTATCAAAATGATTTGAATTGCTTTACAGACCCAACGTGCATCTTTTTTGCATTGGGCTTTTTCATTAACTGATAGAAAGATCAGTTAATCTACCATCTTTTTTCTTAACAGAAAGAGAAAGATAAGGAGATGGCTCCATGTGCTCTGATTTTGTTTTTATTCCAATCTAAGAGCACTACCAAAGTGTTTCAAAGAAGGGTTATCCTGACATAGGTCTGCTTCTGGCCTGGATCAACTTAAGTTAAATGGAGTCTCTATCGACCTTCTTAAATTAAAGAATCAAATATGAAACTTCATACACCTTAAAGTTCATAAGATAGGACGAAAAGATCATTTTTTTTGAGGTCCCTATACTCATTATGCCTAGCATTGAATAGACTAGGTATTCACCTTATCAATATCTCAAAATCTCAAATCAATGATGGGTTGGTTCTATTTGCCGTCTAAATTAAATGTACATTCGAATTGTACCGAACCCTTTGTCAGGCTATTGTTCTCTTGTTTTGTTCCCTAAAAGTCATGGAGTAAGACATCGATTTCTCAATAAGATCAACTCTTTTGATTACATGATGGACTCCTCTGAAAAAACATTGGCGCGCGTGTAAACGAGGTGCTCTACCTAACTGAGCTATAGCCCTTGTGCTTTTGATACATATTTTATCATATTATGTAGGGAATTTATTGTCAAGATGAATATTACATGATCTAATCTCTTTGATTGGTATTGCTTATAAGTAATATTCCATTTATAATCCATCGATATGATAGGTCCCACTTGTTTTTCTTTGGAATAATAAATGACCTACTTAACTCAGTGGTTAGAGTATTGCTTTCATATGGCGGGAGTCATTGGTTCAAATCCAATAGTAGGTATAGGTAGAACTTTTTAGCTACCAGAGTCAATGGTATCTAATAAGTTTTTTTACTCACCTTTTTCTTTTATTGATTTTGTATCTTTTCCCTCTTATCTTACTCTTCTATTTCATTTTTATTCATTTTTTGAATTTCCAATTTTTTCGTTGCATTAGAATTCGATTGCACTATTGGATTCTATTCAATCAACAGAAATCCAAATAGGTTGTATAAAAAAACTTCTGTTTATACAACCTATTTGGATTTTTAATTATTTTATTCGTACGCACCAACTTGTTACGAAATCATATTGATAGCCTCTACTCGTGTCCTAGCTCGTCTGAGAGCTAGATTTGCCTCAATTGTTTGTCTCTTGCCTTCAGCTTTACTCAAGTTAGCTTCTGCTATTTCAAGAGTTTGCTGAGCTTCTTGTGGATCAATGTCACTACCCTTCTCCGCATCATTTACTAAAACAGTGATCTCATTATTGCCTATTCTAGCAAAACCGCCCATCAGAGCCATCGTTACCCATTGGCCGTTAAGGCGTATTCTCAAAATACCGATATCTACAGCTATGGCATTAGGCGCGTGATTTGGTAATACTCCAATTTGTCCACTATTAGTAGATAAAATAATTTCCTTCACTTCTGAATCCCAAACAATTCGATTTGGGGTCAGTACACAAAGATTTAAGGTCATTTCTTCAATTTGCTCTCCATTTCTAAGTTCGTAGCCTTCGCAGAGAAGCCATATAGCCGCGGGCGTAGCAGCCATGTCAAAGCAGGATACGATTAGAAAGGGAAACTGGATCTGGAAGGAATGTCATTAAGTGAAGGAGTCCTCGTAAGCGCATAGGCAAAAGGGCTTGGTGCTCGTTGTTCCCCATTTACACTTTACACATGGGCGAGACGAAGAAACTTCCATATAGTTGAGCAGCGAAAACTGCGCTTGCATTAGTAGAAGCGATTAAATATAGTGTCCACACTCGTCTTCAAACTCTCGAGCTCATCAAGAGGGTGCCTTTCTAGAGTCCTAACATCACTCTCAACCTTCTCGACCTTACTACTCATCTCCAGCAATGCTTCCTCCAATACAGAAACTTTCACAGATAGACTAGCAAGGTCCTCAGCACGTACCTTACTATGACCTCGTCCCTTCTTCAGGTTGGGAAAAAGGTTTCTCACCTCCGGAATAAGAGGACAAAAACCAGGTGCTTTACTTCTCCAATCACATGTGTTATTAAGCATATGAAAATGGAACCCAACAAAACCTGCTTTCTCCCCTT